ATATTTCGCTCCCTATATTTTAGTATATATTTTCCTGAGAAGCAGGACACAATAAAACGTAATGTTTGGTGGCCCTTATTAACTCCCAATAGAAGTATCACTTGACTCTTTATAGGGATTATCCGAATTTACATAAATCTTGCTGTATAATCCTCCGGGTTTAGCGCTTCCCCCTTGATAATAATAATAATAATAAATCAAATCTTAATGTGTAAGACAATTATAATCATCCAGAAATTGTGTAAAATTGTACCTAAGTAGACTTAGTTACTTACTGATTTATTTAATTATCTGCTTATTAATTAACTCGTTTATTTGTTTATTAACTTGTTTGCTTGCTAACTTATTTAATGATTTTCTACCTGTTTAAGTAACTTACTAACGCCAATACTTCTCTACTTACACTTATATATCTCCTGCAAATCAAGTTCCAGTTTGGGTCCCTTCAAGGAGGGTTCCTTGATGCAGGTGAGGGGCTCTTGATCTAGTAATCATAATCATAACTTTTAAAGTGATGGAAGAGTAAGCCAGTGGAAGGCCTCGGTCAGATGACCAAAAGCTCCATCTGTGGGTCATATAACCAAGACCAGCGTCAGGAAACACTTATCCTGTTTCCTGACAAACCTTTTCTAACCTCACTTCTCCTGATCTAGGAATTATTCCAGTTCCATGAATTAATCCTGGATGCCTTCCATCTCTCCCACCACACAGGCGCTGTATAACCCCTACAGGTTTAGCACTTCCCATGATAATAATAAAAAATAACTAAATATGGACCAAATTGTCCGCCCGGATGGCAGGGTTCGTTACGGCTCCAGGTGTCAGTGGCCCTATAGTCCTCCAGGACAACAAAATGGCCGCCAAATTCGACAGTTGTCTTCTAGTGAATTAAAATGAAATTTTATGAAACTGGGAAGAGAGGAAAAAAAATAAGGCAGAGCTGCCATTAACACCATTTCTGTTAAGTCTTCCTGTTTGACTGTTTTATTACTGTTTTCTTTCTGTTATGCTGACATTGCAAAATATTTCTATGGTTTGTGGTTATTAAATGATCCTTGTGGGTTTAGCGCTTAGTTTTATTATAATATGGTTATTATAGTATTATATTCAGTATTAATGTAGTTTAATAACGATATATATATGGTCCTATATAATGGACACTGGATATATCGTGTATTAAATACTCTAATTGTCATTTTGGCCCTCACTTGTAGGTTTAGCGCTTCTTTTTGGTTATAATAATTAGCCCTCAAGGGTGTGTGAAGGGCTCTTGATCCAAGGATTAGAGCCCACCTTTCCCTTGGATCAAACCTGAATGCCTTCCATTTCTCCCTTGGTGCTGATTAACCCATACGGGTTTAGCGCACCCCATAAATGTAATAATAATAGCTAGAATAATAAATATAATTATATAATCTATATACAATGGAAAATATGGAGAGGTAATTTAAGGTAATCGTTGCCTAAGCCGTCATTTGTATTTATGCCTTTTAGCGCATAGTTGTGATTATTATGATGATAATATGCTTACTCCTTTAGCCTACAACAAAGAGACACGAAAATAAACTTAATATACCGGAGCCAGAGGTGAGGTGCAGCAGCTGGAGGCTGCACCACAGGTGGGTGGGGCCCACTAGTGGATGTAGGTCATAGCAGTACGTTCTTCAGCAATAAAGTTGTAGAGGATAACCTGGTGTTGCCGTGTCAGACATATATCATATTATTTATAGTATATAATGCCAGGGTGAATGAGACACGTACAATACTTGGAGATCTTTATTAATGATATGTTTGACACAGCAGAGTCGGTACTGAATGACCCATGTGAGTTTAGTGCTTACTTATGATTGTAATAATTGACATGGCAGCACTATTGTACAGCGAGTCCTCGACTTACACATTGGGAACATTTTGTATTCTGTATATTACTATTATTATTGTGTGTTAGTAAGTTGAAAACTTCCCATATTATGAATATTACACGCAATTCCAGAGGTTGCCAATGTGTTTGCAAGTCTGGGACTTACTGTATCTCGGCACAGAGAAGTGACTAATACCGCCTCTCCTCACTTAACGACGGAGTTCCATTCCTAAGACCTCGTCATTAAATGAATCCGTCACTACCTGGAGGTTATTATTCCGGGGATTAACGCCCCCGCGGCCCGGTCCATGACCAGGCCTCCCGATGGATCAGGGCCTGATCAACTAGGCTGTTGCTGCTGGCCGCACGCAGTCCAACGTACGAGCCACAGCCCGGCTGATCCGGCACTGACTTTAGGTATCTGTCAAGCGCTCTCTTGAAGGCAGCCAGGGGTTTATTGGCAATTCCCCTAATGCTTGATGGGAGGCTGTTGAACAGTCTTGGGCCCCGGACACTTATGGTGTTTTCCCTAAGTGAGGAGCATACTATAATGGTAGTGGGTTTGTCACCCATCTTTGATATTGTTTTAATATTGCCTTTGTACCATTTATAACATTTCTGGTAGATTCTTAAATGTTAATGCAGTGTGTACTGTATATTGTAATAAACAGAATAGAGGAAATTAGCTCTAATATACATTATACAGTGGACCCCCGGTTAACGAACTTTTTTCATTCCAGAAGTATGTTCAGGTGCCAGTACTGACCGAATTTTTTCCCATAAGGAATATTGTGAAGTAGATTAGTCCATTTCAGACCCCCAAACATACACGTACAAACGCACTTACATAAATACACTTACATAATTGGTCGCATTCGGAGGTAATCGTTAAGCGGGGGTCCACTGCATAGGTATGCATACTGGTCAGAGAGCCGGTCGTAAGTCAGAGTTGTTGGCAAACAAGTACGTCGTTAAGTGAGGAAAGACTGTATTGAGTTTAGGTCCTGGTCCCAATTGGTCAATAATAAATATCTATTCCTTAAAATGTATATTAGGTAGGTCATACCATAGACATTATTTTATGGAAATGGCCAGAAACTTAAACATAGGGAAACCCAGCCTAAAGTAACCTAATGAATTATACTGTGACAAGGTGGAAATAGGAATGGTGTGTCTGTGCTGCTGTGATTAGTTAGGTGAATTACATGATATGACATGAGCCTTTAAGATGAGAGTTTGTTGGTATTTTTAAACCCAGAGTGTTAACTACGTAGGATAACCCAGGGTAGGAAGAGTTAGCCACCCAGGATAACCCAGGGTAGGGAGGGATAGCCACCCAGGATAACCCAGGGAAGGGAGGGATAGCCACCCAGGATAACCCAGGGCAGGGAGGGATAGCCACTCAGGATAACCCAGGGAAGGGAGGGTTAGCCACCCAGGATAACCCAGGGTAGGGAGGGATAGCCACCCAGGATAACCCAGGGAAGGGAGGGTTAGCCACCCAGGATAACCCAGGGTAGGGAGGGATAGCCACCCAGGATAACCCAGGGTAGGGAGGGTTAGCCACCCAGGGTAGGGAGGGTTAGCCACCCAGGATAACCCAGGGTAGGGAGGGTTAGCCACCCAGGGTAGGGAGGGTTAGCCACCCAGGATAACCCAGGGTAGGGAGGGTTAGCCACCCAGGATAACCCAGGGTAGGGAGGGTTAGCCACCCAGGATAACCCAGGGTAGGGAGGGTTAGCCACCCAGGATAACCCAGGGTAGGGAGGGTTAGCCACCCAGGATAACCCAGGGTAGGGAGGGTTAGCCACCCAGGATAACCCAGGGTAGGGAGGGTTAGCCACCCAGGATAACCCAGGGTAGGGAGGGTTAGCCACCCAGGATAACCCAGGGTAGGGAGGGTTAGCCACCCAGGATAACCCAGGGTAGGGAGGGTTAGCCACCCAGGATAACCCAGGGAAGGGAGGGTTAGCCACCCAGGATAACCCAGGGAAGGGAGGGTTAGCCACCCAGAATAACCCTAGAAAGTGCTGTCTGTCTTATTTCCATTGTGGTCCTTCAATTTTGTCACCCAGAATGCCACCCACACCAGTCACCTAACACCCAGATACCTACTTACTGCTAAGTGAACACTAACAGCAGGTGTTAGGTGACACACCCAGGTACCTACTTACTGCTAGGTGAACAGGGACAGCAGGTATAGGAGGAAACACTCCCAATATTTCTATCTGGCTGGGATCGAACCCCGGACAAATAGTGTGTGAAGCGAGAGCGTTGCTGACCAGGCCACAGGCACCATTGACTGGCTTTGATATGCACCTCATGCCAAACATATTACAGTGGACCCCCGCTTAACGATCACCTCCCAATGCGACCAATTATGTAAGTGTATTTATGTAAGTGCATTTGTACGTGTATGTTTGGGGGTCCGAAATGGACTAATCTACTTCACAATATTTCTTATGGGAACAAATTCGGTCAGTACTGGCACCTGAACATACTTCTGGAATGAAAAAATGTCATAAACCGGGGGTCCACTGTACATGTATAATTTTTTAATTGTTTCCCAAACTAAAACTAAAATGAGCAATAATTATTTTTACCCAGGTACCTTTGATATACATTTGAAGAGTTTCGAGAGCTTCTTTACTCTCTGAGCCCAGCCATGGGGCAGGTTCATCTGGTGCATAGCCTGCTTGTAATTTAGTAAATAAAATGGCTGAATTCTGGCAAGGACCTAATCTCAATAGTAGCTAGGATATCTTCTACAATTATATTGCTAAAAAGTGTATTGGCATAACCTACTTTCTTTAGTTGTCTCTGTCCACCTGTGATTTTGTCTCCAACTACTGCATCTCGCCTGGCTCCAGTATACGTCTCCCTTGTCATGCTTTTGCTTCAGGCTAAGGGACTAATAACCTTTTACTAAGGCTAAAAGCTTGTTTTAGTCCTGGGACATTGGTCACTCCAAATGAATTTGATATTAATTTGATTTTGGATTTTAATATTGGCTATTAGTTCTGTATTTATGGTTATTATTATTCACTTTGCATGGACAAAATGTAAAAAATAAATCTTAATTCTTTTTTCTAAAAATGCCGTCATAATATACCTCTTATAGACACTCCTGGTATTTCAGGCACAAGACTGACATATATTCTCGAGTCCAGATCTTTCGTTAAGTTGGACTTGAGCCTACCAGCCGCAGCGGGGAATATGAAGATAACACATTGGGTCTAGTATAAGAGTAACCAGCAACGCCACCATCATGGCTGAACCTCACCCACAGTACCCCAACAAGATTCACAAAGTAACCCAGACGAGCTTCGATGGGCCACAACTGCTCCACCACACCACTGGCAATGTGTATGGTAATGTACATTTCGAGGACAACTCCTTCGTGAAGGAACAGAACAAATTGCGCACCCAAATTGAGATGTGGCTTCAGTCTGGCGAGAAGCCTTACGAGTGTGATGGGTGTAATAAAAGGTTTGCGCAGAAAAGCCATCTTAACAGCCATATGCTAGTTCACACTGGTGAGAAGAAGTTTGAATGTGACTTATGTGGGAAGAAATTCACAATGGAAAGTCACCTGAATGGGCATATGCTAGTGCATAACACCGAGAAAAAGTACGATTGTGAGGTGTGTGGAAAACAGTTCGTACAGAAGAGTCATCTCAATGGCCACATGCTCGTCCACAGTGAGAAAAAGTTTGGTTGTGAAATATGCGGCAAGAGATTCATCCTGGAGAGTCATCTCAATAGCCACATGCTGGTGCATAGTGAGAAAAAGTTTGCATGTGAATTGTGCAATAAAAGATACACTCACAAGAGTCACCTCAACAGCCACATGCTCGTACACTGTGAAAAAAAATTTGAGTGTGAGGTCTGCGGTAAAAGGTTCATTCAGCGAAGTCACCTGAATAGCCACAGGTTTGTGCATAGTGAGGAGAAGAGGTTTGAATGTGAGGTGTGTTGTAAGAGGTTCTCACAAGAGAGCCACCTCAATAGCCACAGAATTGTTCACACTGAAGAGAAAAGGTTTGAGTGTGAAGGATGTGGGAAGCGATTTGCCCAGAAAAGTCATCTGAACAGCCATCGATTTGTTCATAGTGAAGAGAAAATGTACGAGTGTAAGGAGTGCGGCAAGCGTTTCACCCAGGAAGTTCACCTAAATAGCCACAGGTTTGTGCACAGTGATGAGAAAAAATTTGAAAATCAAGATTGGGGGAAACGATTTGCACAGGAAAATCACATAAATGGGCATAGGATTATCCACAACGAACTAAAAAGATACGAATGCGACAAATGCGGCAAGAGATTTATGTTGAAAAGCCATTTGAACAGCCATAAGTTTGTGCACAGTGAGGAAAGAAAATATGAGTGTCTCGAATGTGGCAAAAGATTTACACAAAAGAGTCATCTTAACAGCCATAGATTTGTGCATAGTGAGGAGAAGCTTTACGAGTGCCAGGACTGTGGAAAACGATTTTCCCAACAGATTCACCTCAGCAGTCATAGGTTCGTGCACAGCCTGGAGAAAAAATACGAATGCGATGAGTGTGGGAAGCGATTCACTCAGGAAAGCCACCTCAACAGCCATAGATTCATGCACACTGAGAAAAAGGGTTTCGATTTTCAGGACTGTGCCAAGCTGCTGCCTCAGAAAAATCATTTGAACAGCCTGGTGGTGCCAGTAGTGCCAAACGAAGAAAAGACGGTGACTTACGAGGAGACCGGAAAGATCTTCACTCCCCAGCCATACCAACCAGCTTACTCCTATGGTCATCTCACAGGACAACTGTCGGACAAGGTTCGGACACTGTGGCCTCTGTAGCCAAGGTTCGAAGCTGTCTTACAGCTAATAGGCAAATAAGCAAAAGAAATTGTTGCTACTCATGTAATTAAGCACATTATATGTTTTTTGAATTGTCTCAGTGTTAATATTGGCCATACTCATAGTGACACTAGTATGAATTAGGTAATAGCTAAGTAATGCATAACTTATGGGGTAGTAATATTTGCACCATGCACAGACCAGACCTGTAAACTTGGTGCATTATGGTCTAGTATCTGTCCATTGGCTGTACTTTGAGTTGCCATCATTTCTGCATATTGCTGGGTATCTTAATTTTTGCATGTTCCCAGACACCACGAGCTATCTGTCACTGCGACATAATAAGAAATTTATATTTTGAGAATTACTCGTTTTACAAAATATTTCAGTACATTGTCTCCCTGCTGTAATAAGAATTTTATGTGGAAGCAAAGGATGTGGATCCTATACTAAGGTGCATTTGTTATGGTTCTTCTTTGTTTGTATTGTCAGCTAATATTTTAATAGCCCAGACCAAGTTTGTAATTGTTTTCATAATACAGTAGAACCTTGGTATTTAAACTTGATTGGTTCCTAGGTGGTGTTTGAACTACAAAAAGTTTGATGTCTGAAACTGTATTTCCCAGGCTTTAATTATCAGCCTCACACACTGGAGAATGTCGAACTGACTCTTCCAAAAGTCTCTAAAGAGTTAGGTCAGTGTCAGAGGTCACTTCAAAGTACAGTGGTACCTCAAGTTACGAACTTAATTCGTTCCAGAAGGCTGTTCGAATGCCATTACCGAACAAATTTGTTCCCGTAAGGAATAATGTAAATTAGATTAGTCTATTTCAGACCCCAAAAAATACACTTACAAAAGCACTTACAAAAATGCACTTACATAATTTGTTCGAGTTAGAAGCTGTTCGAAACTCGAGGCGCCACTGTACTTCTGACACACGGCTTTCGTGTAAAGATTTTTTTACAGCCAAATTTTAAACAAGGCAATGCGTTTGGACTCCAGAAAAACATTCAAAGACTGGGTAAATTTTTTCTGAACAGAATTGTTTGGACTCCAGTTTGTTCGAGGTCCAGTATGTTTGAACACCGAGGCTCCACGGTAATGAGTTGTGTAACAAGGACACTCGACACATTCCAGCTTCTTCATCTCCTTTTTCCAGTCTCACTACTGACTCCCTATGCAACATAACCTCGCATGTACACACTCACTTAAGTTTTACAACCTCATGTGTCCAGTTTTCTTTGTAGGAGATATTTAAGAGTTTTCAAAAATTCCCCAGCAAGGTTAGACAGCTTAAGCTTCATAAGGTCAAGCTGTTCTCCAAAAACTATGTTCAAAGAATCTAAATTAATTAATTTTACTCTGAAGCACATAAAGATTAGGATAATTCCATTTAAAATATATTCTCCAGGGTTTTAAAATTATGGACTTTCGTATTTACTTTATACTTTTTGTTACCAAATCAAAAATTAAATATTTGAGTACTAAGGAGAATTTGGCAGCAAAGAAGATGCCAGCACTGTTTTTATCTTTCCATTATTAAAAAATTCAGCACTGTATACTACTGTATCTGAAAAGCCCATATATGTTTATATACATAATACGATTTAGTTAACATTCCATCTACATCATGCATTATAGTTTTTATAATGAATTTTCAATTGCTTCATTATAGTGATGGTTTCACGGAGTATAAATTATATGAAATACAGTACATTATGTATGTAACTAGGAAAACTAGCTGTTATTGGGATTTTTAGGAAAGTATACAGATACAGTAAGATAGTGTAAGGCGTTGTATCTAAAGATGTCTTATATATTGTGGGATCAATTTTAAGTAATAAACCATGGAACTGGTGGGATTTGAACCCATGGAGAGTGAGTCGTAAAACTCACTCACCATGGGCTCAGACCCACCCATTCTGTGGTTTGTTTACAATCGTGTTATTACGATTTTGTGAGTCTGTTCATTCTACCCAGTATATAAATATATATACCTTATCCTTAGTTTTCCACATCTAGTCCGAATTTGCTTTCACAAGTGTAATCTGTACCACAAAATCTGTGTCATTCCACCCTCTGGCCCATAGTCTAGTTTTGGCTACACTAACGACCTGAATGAACAAACTAAGGCTTTGAACATTTTTTGATGTCGTGTATTTCTGACCTGAAACCAAAATGTAAATGAACATAGTGTTAAAACATGATTACAGTAATATGGAGACAGGTTTAACTGTTTAAAATAATATGGAGATAGGTTTAACTGTTTAAACCTCTTGAACAAACCACACACAGTCTGCACTCAAGTGTGTTTGAATATTGAAAAAACAAATGGATAACAATTTTCATTAATGAATGAAATTTAATTTATTAGAGGATACTGTGTTTTTAAGCCTATTGTTCCTATTACAGAAGTATTCTTGGTTTACCTTCACATGATGTGTACATCAAATGCACCAGATGGGTTATGATTAACCTTCATATGGCAGAAATACTAACAGGCAGTGTATACTAACAGCTAGTGTATAAAGTATGGGCAAAGTATATTTATGTATAATTTTTTGATAATGAGAAACAAAAAATCACTATCAGATTTCCTTTTTTTTTTTTGTTTTAACTTAATGTAAGGCAGCTGTGGTTAACACTAAGGGTAAATTGTTTTAGTGCAGCTGTGGTCAATACTGAGGGTTAATTCCTCTTCATTAAAGCTCCCAGTACTTGCAAATGCATTAATATGAAGCTACCGCATTAGAAAATTAGTGTTGTAAATATGTATGTTTGTAATATCTTGTAGTGTACAGGAAATGTACTTAATTACTGGGCAGGAATCGAAACCAAGGCTAGGCATGTGCCGAGCCTACACTCTTACCATTGTACTGTACTGTGGTGGTTACAATAGGAGAGAGAGTACCCCATCATGGGTAATATTAGCATACCAATGAAGGTGTCTGCATTCTATTGTAGCCACCACAGTACACCGGTCAAGTACAGGCTTTGTTATGCATATCCTCGCATTCGATTCCTATCCAGTTTAATGTGAATTTAGTTACGATCATTCGTTATAATTTTTCCAAGTACATACATACGTACCTCCATACATACACACACATCCCTATACGTTCATACATACCTTTATATTCATACATATACATACTGTATATGTACATATACATGTACATATACCCATACATATACATGCACATATACACAAAAATTTCGCAGCAAAATATAAGAAAAACGCTAATATCCTTGCACCTTCATACTTCATTAATCATATTGTCCAAACACACAGTGAAGGAAACTCATTGTGTTAGTTTATTCTTCAGGAAAAAGACGTAACGAGTGTTTATAAAACGTTCTCTGTGACACCAGACCTGTAGTAGAGGCAGCACATGCAATATGTCCAAGAATATGTGAAAGGAGCTGCTGATCACCTAGCATCGGTCTCAATAGTAAGGATGATGAATTTATTAATGTCAGCCCTGTGGTGGGGATGTGGCAAGGTAGTAATGTTTAACCCTTAACCCGTAAATGGTCCAAACGTATATATACGTTTTTTCAACATTTGAAAGTATGTAAAAAAAGTAGATCTTCTTTTTGTTTTTTTACATTTGAAAATGTGTAAAAAAAAAAGTAGATTTACTTTTGTAGCGCTACACATGTGAACATAGATCTGCTTGGACCGTTTACGGGTTAAACTGTCTAAACGTAGATCTACCGTTCACTTGTGTAGCGCTTTGAATATTTTGGGATTTTTTTTAAATGAGAGCATTTTCCCAGCATCCCCGAATTTTGTCGTACTGTGCATACCGAGTGCACAGACCCGTTCTCTCATGTCTAGGCTACTCCGGCATATCATGCCAAGGTTCAAAGCATGTAAAATAAAATGTAGATCTACGTTTGGACAGTTTAAGGGTTAAGGACACCTATGAAAGAGGTAGCCATTATCCCTATGTTGGGCTTTAGTAGCAGCAAGTGCTGGCTTGGCTTTCCAGTGCTGGGTTACCAGTGCTGGGTTACCAGTGCTGGGTTACCAGTGCTGGATTCATTAGAAGTCCAGCAACAAGTGGGGCTGCTCCTCACCTGTGGACCCCACATCATCTTCAAGACAAGTCTGTTGATGAGTGATTTGGTGCACCAAAGGTGCATAAAATTCCTGCAGCAACAAGAGCTTTACAGCTGTTGCTGCAGGAACTGTAAAGAATCTGCAGTAACAGGTGTAACATGATGCAGCAGATGTAGATAGTGAGAAAGAGATGTAGATGGTTCAGCAGATGTAGATGGTTCAGCAGATGTAGATGGTTCAGCAGATGTAGATGGTTCAGCAGATGTAGATGGTTCAGCAGATGTAGATGGTTCAGCAGATGTAGATGGTTCAGCAGATGTAGATGGTTCAGCAGATGTAGATGGTTCAGCAGATGTAGATGGTTCAGCAGATGTAGATGGTTCAGCAGATGTAGATGGTTCAGCAGATGTAGATGGTTCAGCAGATGTAGATGACTGAAGGGAGACAGATGGATCAGGATTACTGGTAGATAGTTTGGGAGACTTAGACCGAGGAACAGGTTTAAAGAATGAATCCAGCTTATTTTGTCTGGTATGCTACTGCTGCTCCCTTATGACAATTTTCCCTAAAAGTACAGAAGTTTTGATTATAGTCCTGAACTTTTCTTTGGTCTGAGAGGTTAATATACATGATGAGAACATCAGTCACATCTCATACTGTTGACAGTTTTGGTAATCTCTCAATTTCATCATCATCATCATCATCATCACCACTATCTTCATCTATGGGGCCACCAATAGCTTCGTCTACAATTTCTACATCAATCAGCATCTGGTAGCATTTCCATTTTCTTCCTGCCATTCAATCACATTTTCCTCAATGTTTGTTTCTCCTTCCCTCTGAAGTGTCTGATGAAAATCTGTGGCCTCGAACACCTCAGAGTCGAACTCAATATCAACCTTATTTAACAGTTTTTAACAACCACTAGCTAATGTTGTCTTTTTCAGTTCGTTCCACGACTCCACAGTGATGAAGATGGCAGACCTTTGGGTATACTTCTTTGGCCTCTGTTGTCTTCCAAATCTTGGTTTAACTTGATAACTTCCTGGAGGGTGTTCCGTATGTCAACACCCCTGTGGCCCAGTCCTTGACCAGGCATGGTGGTGGATCATGGTCTCATCAACCAGGCTGTTTCTGCTGGCTGCACATAGTCCAGTGTACAAAAGACAGCCCAGCTGATCAGGTACTGACTTTGTGTGTCTGTCCAGCTCCTTGAAGGCAGTCTATTGGTAATTCCCCTTATGTCTGGTGGGAGGCCGTTGAACAGTCTTGGGGCTCTGGACACTATATTGTCTCTTAGTGTACTAATGGTACCCCTACTCTTATTTCATCTATATATCTTGATTGATACAACCTCTTACAAGCTGTAATAATCTTCTGATCCATAGGTTGAATCATAGAGGCAGTATTAATGGGCAGAAACATGGCTTTAATTCTATCATCACTGCTGATTGAGTTTTCAGATCATGGGTAAACAGGCATATTACCAAGCAAGAGACAGACCTCGACTTCACCAGATCAAGTTTAAGTGTCTAGCTTGTACTTGTGTACTTCAGGAATGAAATGCTTATGAAAACAGAAAAAATGTCCCTGTCAAACCAGTTTTTCTTAACCTTGTAATAAATGACCTCCAACTCTTTCATACAATCCTTTAAACACTGTGGATGTGCTAATTTGCCAGTAACTGCCATTTACAACCACTAAACACTGTCAGCATTACTGAAGCATAATACTGAGAAGTGTGTTTTGATCCCATGCTGAAAGTCTAGTATGTGAGGATTACAGGCACCAAAACAGACCGCTTTCATCAGCATTATAGAGTTGAGATACAAGAAGCCCTTCAATCTCCATCAGATCATTTAGTGATAATCTGAAGGGCTCAGTTTCCTCTGTAGATGCACTGCCATCCTTTCTATAGGTTTTTCTGCTAATTAAGCCATAGCATTCACAGAAATGCTGAAGCCAACAATCACTTATCCCAAATTCTGTTCCCATATAACTTGCTAGCTTCTTAGCTGCAGAGAATGAACATTAACACCAGCAGTGCACTGTGGAATATAGCATTTATGCAGTACTGCTTCAACCCTTGTATGTTCATGCACTTCCTAGGAGTAATGCAAAAATTTTTCAGGCTAGTATCTACACTGTACTGAGAGGTGAGAGGTTCTTCTGTGTGGAACTCTGGGTCTTGGCATTCTTGTTCCAGCCATAAGTCATGGCTTTCCCACAAAGGGCTGCATATTATTGGGGCTTTCATTTAGTCTTCTTTTTGCCCATAGGGGACAGGACATCTTTCCTGTTAGGTTAGTTCCCTTTCTCTTGCACTGGCTGTCACATCACCTGTCCATCATTCAGCTCCTGTCCAGTGTGACAATAGTTCTCTAGTGGCATCACTTTATAGCCTATATATTGCAGCCTGTGGTTTTCTGGCTGTTCCTCCTCCTCATCAGATACCAGAGGAGCTCGATTTCAACTTTGAGATCCACGGATCCTCCAGCCTGTCCTGCAGTGCTGCATGTCACACCTATGGGGCAGCATCATCCTTCCTGTTGCTTTTGTCTGTGTGTATAGGTCCTTCCCCTCCTTGCCATCTTCCAGAAGAGTAATAGTTTAGTTCCAACAGAGGTTACAGTCCTTCCACCCACAGCTAGGTCTCCTTCAGTGTCATGAGTGACGAATGGTTCATGGTCTCCTTCAGTGTCATGAGTGACGAATGGTTCATGGTCTCCTTCAGGGTCATGAGTGACGAATGGTTCATGGTCTCCTTCAGTGTCATGAGTGACGAATGGTTCATGGTCTCCTTCAGGGTCATGAGTGAAGAATGGTTCATGGTCTCCTTCAGGGTCATGAGTGAAGAATGGTTCATGGTGTCCTTCAGGGCCGTGAGTGAAGAATGGTTCGTGGTCTCATTCAGGGTCATAAATGAAGACATGGTTCTAATCTGTTATGGCTTCCACTTGTGCCATTCTCTCCACCATCATGGGCTCACCCAGCACCAGGAGTCATAACCTCTTTTCATTCCACTAGGGCTGTCATTTGAGACACTCATCAGTGAGAGGAGACTATCCTTGAAGAGGCCCAGTTTGTTGCCAACCACCACCATTCTTTAACATGTCATCAGTACAAATCCATCAAGAGGGCATTAAAATGTTTCCTGGCACATTGAAACATTCCAGCCGCCAGTATCACCGAAACTTTTACCATTACTGGGGCGTAAAGAGGTGAGTTAGTTTGAATGAGCTGCGATTTTGCAGGTGGACCTCTCAAGGCCCCTTCCACATATATATTTCATATTACGTAATTTTTTTATAGGTGTGCGTGCGTATGCATGTGTGCATGCACATGTATGCATGTGAGTGCATGTGCACGCATGCATGTGTGTGCATGTGTACTCACCTAATTGTGGTTGCAGGGGTCGAGACTCAGGTCCTGGCCCTGCCAGGTGTGTGTGAGAGATTGACATATACACACACACACACACACACACACACATATATATATATATATATATATATATATATATATAAAATATATATATATATATATATATATATATATATATATATATATATATATATATATATATATATATATATATATACATTTTTTTTTTTTTTTTCTCAACAAGTCGGCCGTCTCCCACCGAGGCAGGGTGACCCAAAAAAAGAAAGAAAATCCCCAAAAAGAAAATACTTTCATCATCATTCAACACTTTCACCACACTCGCACATTATCACTGTTTTTGCAGAGGTGCTCAGAAATACAACAGTCTAGAAGCATACACATATAAAGATACACAACATATCCCTCCAAACTGCCAATATCCCAAAACCCCTCCTTTAAAGTGCAGGCATTGTACTTCCCATTTCCAGGACTCAAGTCCGACTATATGAAAATAACCGGTTTCCCTGAATCCCTTCACTAAATATTACCCTGCTCACACTCCAACAGATCGTCAGGTCCCAAGTACCATTCGTCTCCATTCACTCCTATCTAACACGCTCACGCACGCTTGCTGGAAGTCCAAGCCCCTTACCCACAAAACCTCCTTTACCCCCTCTCTCCAACCCTTTCGAGGATGACCCCTACCCCGCCTTCCTTCCCCTATAGATTTATATGCTTTCCATGTCATTCTACTTTGATCCATACTCTCTCTCTCTCTCTCTCTCTTCTATATATATATATATATATATATATATATATATATATATATATATATATATATATATATATAATATATATATATATATATATGCCGAATATGTAAAACTGGTCAATTAGCAAGAACTCATTTTAAATTAAGTGCTTTCTAAAATTTTCTCCTATACGTTTAAAGATATATTTTTTCATTATTGTTAATGTAAAAATTTATAATTTTGCACCAAAAGAGTCTTAGAAAACTTACCTAACCTTATTATAACAAGCGCAATTTATTTTAGCCTAACCCAACTAAATATATTTTAGATTTGTTTTCAATAATTTAATACTAAACAAACAGAGTGAAATGTATTTTTTCCGTTAGGTTCAGAATGATTTTGGCGAAATTATTGCATACACAAATTTTTGCTTGTCTTATATGGCAAGATGACCGTTGCTATTTAAACCAAGATCGCAAGTTCTGCCTATTCGGCACGACATATATATATATGTATACAGGTCTCCCTCAAGATTCACGTTTTCAACTTTCACGGGCTTCACATATTCGCGAATTCCCAACTGCCAAATTCCCAGCCACCAAATTCCCAGCCGCCAAATTCCCAGCCGCCAAATCATATTTAAGTTTCCCGCCACCTGCGAGTCCCTACTACCCTCCCTCCGACCCCCGCAACTGGCAGCCAGCCCTCCCACCACTCAGTGTGGTGAGTGTTTTGTTTGTTCATTATTTGCTATTAAACTGCAGTATAAATAATGTAAACCCATTCATGACTGCATATTGGAACGGCTATTAGAATAGGTATTAGATGGTGACATCATGCATTTACTCTTTAACACTGCAAAGAATTAAACATTTCTGCTACAGCTAATAATAACAATAGTAATAATAATAATAATAATAATAATAATAATAATAAGTATGATATAATTGAAGAAGGAAATTGTACAAAAATACGAGGGAGTGGTTGACACATCGTCAGTGTGACTTTGTTTATGCTGGAGTGAACATTAGTCTCCCTGCTCTTCCAAACATTTCACAATAATTCATTGTGTTTGGTGCTTGTAGATTGAGTGTGACTGGATGGTAGAGGCAGTGATTGAGGCAATGGTTTTTAAAAACATACATTTTAATAATAATACATGTTATTAATAAAACAGTACTTTTATTTTTATAACATATTGTTTTTAAATTTTCACCCCCTAAAAACCGCTAAATTATTGTAAAAATGTTTGGAAGAGCAGGGAAAACTAATGTTACCCAGCATAAAAAAGTCACACTGACGAGTGTAAAACCACCCCTGTTTTTTTTGTAAAATTTTCCCTTTTCTTAATTAAACCTATTTTTTATTATTTTTATTATATTATTATTATTATTATTATTTTATTATTATTATTATTATTGTTTTTTAAAAAGCAATAGCGAAATGTTCGATTCTTTGCAGTTTTCGAGTAAACACATGATTCACCGTCTAATACCTTTTCCTAATAGCCGTTCCAATATGCAGTATGGATGAGTTTACATTATTTATTCTGTAGTTTAATACAAATAAGAACAAAAAAACACTCACCACACAGTGGGGGGAGGGCTGGCGGGCCAGTTGTGGGGTCGAGGGAGGGTAGTAGGGACTCGCATGGTGGAGGATTGGGGGAGTTTGTTTTTTAATACATACATGTTTTTAAAAAACAGTTTTTAAATAAATAGTTATTAAAGGTAACATGTATATTTTATTTCAAATTTACGATGTTTCATGTATTTTATGATTATTTTAGGTTTTAAAAGTTAAGGAAGCAGTATTGTAATATATTTCCCAAAATGTTCCGGCTTTCACGAGACCCACATAAAGATCATTGGGCAACGAAATATGGAACCCAGGTTACAACCTTTACGATGGACAGAGTGAACGGCAAAAGGGGGGGGGGGGGGGGTTTGCCTTACATTGCCAAGTCACTTGTTTCACAGAACTGCTTAATGCCTCAAATGATTGTGGGAAATTTTAGCAAAAGGTCGGAACCAAAACCTATCATTGTGGTGCACAAGCCCCGGATGCAGCATCCCCCAATTCCGGAACAGCGTTAAAAAATTTACCACTGCTGGAAAAATCTTCCAGCTCCCGCCCCAACTTTGCCCTGGGGTTTCCCTTAAGGCACCTAAAATGGAGGAAAATGCAAATAATATTGTTGCATAATAACACCAGAGGCAGCTCTGATGAAAACCACACTCCACGAGCTTTTAATTCTGTACAAAAATTTAATTTAAACCACAAATAATAGACCTCTAGATGGAGAAAACACTAGACCCATCTTCACTAACAAAATGATCCCGATAAGAAATGTCACCATATCAAAAAAAATTACTCAGATCACAACATAATTTGGGTTTCAAAATGTATCGTGGAGCCCCAGACCGAATAAGAACTAGTCACGGGGAGCACCCAAATTTAACTCAATAACAAAAACATAAAAAGGGGACCCAAATAAACCAAGTCCTAACCGATTAAACTGGAAAATTACTAAACAACACAGACCCCAACTTTGCCTAGAACGTTAACTGGTGGCACTCGATGTATGCACAAGGCTTTTTTCCCTAAGAAAAAGGAGGGGTAGATGTAAAATAGAAAGAGCAGGCGCTCCCTTTTCAGGCGAGGAAAAAAAATAACAGAGCCTAAAAGAGGTCAAAATCTGAAAAGCTAGGGGGACACTGGTCAAAAAATAGCAACATCGAACTTTAATAAAAAAAATCCTTTAGGATCGGAAAACGCGGGGAAAACTAAAAGCCATAATGAAACGAAAGAAACCCAAAGTATTTCTTCTCCTATCAAAATCAAAAACGAGAACGTCCAGTATGGGCCCCCACTTAAAAAATGGGGCCACACAGATGACACAAGGAAATGAGTGAGCTACTCAAGTCCCAAAATGATCAGTTTTTTTGCAAACCGCTATCCAAACCCCGAGAGCGAGATCAAAATGAATTTTTTTATGAGAGCCACAAAATTTGATTAAGCACAAAGCTATTCCGATGTTATCCTGACAACAAATGACTTAGAACAGGCGATAAATGAATTGCCATGCATTCTGCCCAGGGCAGACTCATGGTAATCTGTGTTCATCAAGACTGCAGAAGCCCCTATCACGAGGCCTTGTTCAATCCTATGGAGAGGGAGCATGGACACGGGGGTCCTCCACATTATAAAAACAACAGACATAGCCCATCCACAAAGGGGGCAGTAAATGCAACAGCAAAGAACTACAGACCAATAAGCACTACATTCCCATATCCATAAAATCTTGAAAGGGTCCTAAGATGCATAGATCACACCATCTAGAAACCATCAGTTACACAACCCAGGGCAACATGGTGTATGAACAGGTCGCTCTGTCTGTCTCAACTATTTGGATCACTTCGACAAGGTCCTAAATGCACAGGAGACAAAAAGAATGCAGATGTACTATATAAAGACTTTGCAAAAGCCCTCTTCGGACAAGTTGTGACCATGGCGTTAATAGCGGCACAAATTGCGTGCTAAAGGAATAACAGGAAAAGTCGGTCGATGGATCTAAAATTTCCTCACTAACAGAACACAGTGAGTTAGTCGTCAACAGAGTAAAGTCCGTGCAGTACGGTGAAAGCTCTGTTCCACAAAGCACGTACTCGCTCATCATGGTTCCTCATCATCTTATCCGAATAGGTCATGGATGTCAGCCACAGCACCGTGTCTTCCTTTGCAGTGACATCCCGGAATCTGCATACAGTGCTCTTCCATTGCAGACACTGCAGGCTCAGGCGGACATCAAAACAAATCTTTCTGTGGCTGCAGAAAAAAAATATGAAGTTCAAACGATGAGAAATTTCAATTATCAGAGGATTGGTAAACATGAGGAAATTAGAATCTTCATCAGAGTACAAAACAAATTCTTGGCCACAAATTAGAGCGAAACACCAACGTCAAAGGACCTGGGAGTGATTATGTCGGAGGATCTCACCTTCAAGGACCATTAACTTTGTATCAATGCATTTCTGCCTAGAAAAATGACAGGTGGTAATGAGTACTTCAAAACCTAGGAGGCCAAGCCCATGATGACATCTTTCACGTGTAACTTGTACTATCTAGGCTGGGAATATTTGCTGCACACTAACAGCACTTTCAAGCAGGTGAATGAAATTGCTGACTGAAATGTACAGAGAACTTTCACGTCGCGCATAACCGGAGATAAAACACCTCAATTAATGGGAGCTGCTTTGAGGTTCCTAAACCTGTATTCCCTGAACGCTAGGATGGAGAGATTCATGATTATTTACACCTGGAAAATCTAGAGGGATAGTACCGAATTGCACACGAAATTCATCACTACGAAGCAAAGACTTGGCAGGACGATGCACCATCCCCCCAATGAAAGCAGGGGTGGTCACTAGCACGTTATGAGACCGCGGGGGGTTGACCCCCGGAAACTCGCTCCAGGTAAACTCCAGTAATACAATAAGTGTCAGGGCCTGGGGACTGTTTCAAACTGCCCTCCAGCACACATAAAGGGGGATTACCAACTGACCCCTGGCAGTCTTCAAGTGGCACTGGACAAGCAACCTAATAGTCAGTTCCTGATCAGCCAGGGCTGTGGGCTGTACGTTGGTTTGCATGCAGACAGCAGCAAAAGCCTGGTTGATTCAGGCTCTGATCACCAGGAGGCCTGGTTCACAGACCGGGCCGCGGGGGCGTTGACCCGGAACTCTCTCAGGGTAAAAATCCATGTAAACAATATATTGGGGCACCAAACATTCACGTTTTTTCAACATTCGCAAAGGCTCTTGATCCCTAAACCTCGCGAATGTTGAGGGAGACCGGTATTTGTATTAGTATATATATATATATATATATATATATATATATATATTTTTTATATATATTATATATATTATATATATACATACATATCATACATCAGTGGAAAACCCCCGGTGTTGTACGATATTTTTGCACTCCAGAAGTAGGTTCAGGTGCCAGTACTGACCGAATTTGTTTCCCATAAGGAATATTGTTGAAGTAGGATTAGTCCTTTTCTGACCCCAAACTACACGTACAATCGCACTTACATAACTCCACTTACATAATTGGTCGCAATTCGGAGGTGATCGTTATGCGGGGGTCCCACTGTATATATATATATATTTTACAGTGGACCCCGGTTAACGACTTCTTCTTTCATCAGTAGTCTGTTCAGGTGCCAGTACTGAACCGAATTTTTTCCATAAGGATTATTGGAAGTAGATTAGTCATTCAGACCCCAAACTTACACGACATACGCACTTACATAAATACACTACATAATTGGGCGCATTTGGAGGTGATCGTTTAAGCGGGGGTACATGTAATATATATTATATATGTTGTATATATTTTATATTATATATATTTATATTTTAGATTATTGATTTATTATATTTTATACTATTATAATTTATATATAGATATAAATATATAATGATAGATTTGTTATATTTATATTTATATTACTATATATACATGTTTAGATATGCATGTTTATGTTTATGTATATGTATTTTTATATATATTTTTATAGTATTTTTTTTTCTTTTATTTATTTTGATATATATATATATAATATACATGGGTGATATATATATATATATATATATTATATATATATAGATATATATATATATTTATATTTATTTACATGTATATATATACATGTAGATTGTATATGTTATATATATATATATACTATTTATTATAAATATACATGTATATTATACATGTATATGGATATGTATATAGATATTATAGTTATATATATATATATTATATATATTATTATATATAGCATACTGAGACTTATATACATTGACATGTATATATATATATATATATATATATATTAGATATAGATATAGATTCATATTATATATATATTTTACTATTTATATATACATATTCATGTATATATATATATTTATATATTTATTTATGATATAGATTTAATATATATATATATATATATATATATATATATTTACAGAGGATATATTTACTGGTATATGGATTTGTATTTATTTAGATATATTACTATATATAGTTCTTTTACATGTATAGTGATATCTTGTTTAGGTATATGTTTTTATAATATCTTTATAGACTATTTATATTATTTTATTCATGTTTATATTTACATGTATATGTATTTGGAGATTTATATTTAATCATATATATTATATTACATATACAGGTATATTTATAGTTATATAATAGATTTCTATATAGATATATATATATATTATATAATATATATATATATACATATATATCTGTATATATACAGTGGTTCCCCGAGTTTCGGGATTAATCCGCTCAGTGTGCTGCGAAAGTCGAAAAATTCACGAAAACTCAAAACCATTTTCCCATCGAATAATGGAAATTAAATTAATCCGTTCCAGACACCCAAAAAATATTAAAATAAAATATTTTTTCAAATTAAATAAAGATTAATATACTGAAATCATGAGGAAAATCAGTACATGCATATGAAAAATAATTACTGACACTTACCCTTATGAAGACTTCTGGGTGGATGGAAGACGGGAGGAGGGATGGAGGAAGGTGTTTGTACACTTTGTTTGGAAGGAGAAGAATCTCCTTCCTTAGGACTTTAGATGCAAGTCCTTATTGGAGTTACTTTCCCTTCTCTTTTAATGCACTGGGAACAAACATAAGAGTTGCTGGCCCTGTCACACAAAATATCTGTCCGAGAGGTCTTTTTCTGGCATTTCTTTAGATTTTCCTGAAGTGGACACACCTCTGTTCTTTGTATACATGTTGCAGATATGGCTTGTTCAGCTTGGTCAGGGTGTAACTTTCAACAATCTACTTTGCAATCATCCACTTGGGCACAACATCTCCTTAATCTTTGAGAAGGCACCGCATCCATCCCTCTTCTCCTCTGAAGCAAGTTCTCGGCTTTTTGGTTGATGCTGTTTCAGTTGGAGCTCTTGCAGTTTTGTCAAGTGGTTAGCCTCTTCCCTAGGGGTCTCCACCAACTCTTCCAACATCCCCGTTCACTCACTCCAACCCCATGGACTTGCCAATGCCACAACACCTTCCACAAACAGGCAGAGGGTCGGAGGGGACAGGCGTCTGCCTCCAACTTCAAAATCCCTCTGGATCGTGTTCCTCACTTTATTTACCAAAGGGCTTGCACTAGCTTTCCTTGGGTCCATGATGACTTTATTTAGCAGTTGCAAGCACAAAAAACAATGGATTATTATGAAATGTATTGAATGAACCCGCAGGGTGATGGTCACGTGTTGGTAAACAATGGCACACTGAGCGTGAATGGCGTGGGAGACTGGTTTGGTGTGCGTGGTGATGGGCGGACGGGTACAGGACGGTCACCAAAACACAAGTCTAATTACGAAACTGGAGGCCAAATTTTGCCAAAAAAACTCGCCGAAGGTCGAATTTCATGAAAGTCGAGGCTGCCGAAACTCGAGGGTCCACTGTATGCATATATATATATACATGTGTGTGTGTGTGTGTGTGTGTGTGTGTGTGTGTGTGTGTGTATGTATGTATGTA